GGGAGGGAGGGAGAGAGGAGGGGGGCGTGGATAGCGCTGGTCGGCCGGAAGGTAAATCTTTTTAAATATCATATGTGTAATGCGCGCGTGTTTGTGTGAGGCAGCTCGACGCGCAGTTCAAAGCAAATCCCCCCCCCTTTTCCTTCTCTTTCCTACCCGACCACCACCCCCCACTTTCCCACGAGCGTATGGGTGGCGATCAAAGCGAGCCTCCAGGCAAAACTGGGTCACATTAGCACACACACACACATCTACACACAAACACATACACACAGTGGCGGCCAAAAATTTAGGTGACGTAGCCTTAGTCCCACGAATAGAAATTTATGACGCCAGTGTTTGTGGCTGCCACCTCCATGGCGAGATGTGTACCGTTTGGGCTTCCAGGTGGCGGAGTGAGGGCGGGGGCGGCGGGGGCGCACACAGGACTCAGCTGCGGCGCTATCTTATCGACGCGTTCGCGCTAACACCACCCGGACACGCCGCAACCGGCAAACTCGTCGGCAAATGTACGTTTGAAAAGGCTATTTTTACTCTTTCGACTAAAACTCGCCCCTTCTATTGACTTCATACTCTGCTGATCTTAGTAGTGTGTAGTAGTTTTCAAGTTTAAACTGCAAAACTAAAAGTTTGCCAGTTAGAACTACTACTGTAGAATAGAGGATAGCGAAAAAAAAAGATTTGAGATATTGATATGGCGGGTATGCGGAAAAGTTGTCTTTTTAGATGTAGAATCCAGTGCAATTTTTTATTTTGAGATTGGACAATATTTTCCGATCGCGCAACGAGTTCAAAGTTATGCATTAGCTCTTATGGGAAAAATCGTCAAAAACCATGAAAAAATGAAAATCGAAAATTTGGGCTTTATGTGATGTTTTTTGAAAATCTGTTTTCATAAATGCAATCTACGCCATAAAAGGCATCCACTGATGTGTCACACTTGATATTATAGTCAGCGGTTCAGTCCCGGCCAGGTTGTTCATTGATGTACTCACCATATAGCGGTCAGGTGAACGATACTAAAAAGCCTGTGCTGTGAGTTGGCACTTTCGGTTTGGTTATGGAATAATGGAAATATTCCTATGGAGTAAACAAACACACAAATCCAGTTTGAATACAAACACCCCACTGACCAACCACAACACTCTCCACTGTAAAAAAAAATGTTGTATGGAAACGAAAAATTTCTTGTTAATTTTTTTGATGACCAGCATTGTAGGTAAACAGGCATGCCATCAATACTTTATCGTTTCAAAACAGACAACTCATTTGGGTACGACAAAATAACTACAACCCAGTCATCAAACAAAATGTCGTAACTGAACAGGGAAGTTGTACAGGAACAACATAAACTATTTTCAAAACAAACAGCTCGTTTGGATACGGAAAAAAAATTAAGACCTAATCATCAAACAAAATGTCGTTACAGAACGAGAAAGTTGTGTGGGAACAACATAAATTGTTTTCAAACAACTATTTTGTTTTCAAACAACTATTCTTGTTTTCAAACGGCACCACCATAATTTTTAGTTGAAGTGAGATTCTAGTTCACCATCATATTAGTTAAACTTTTAAGTTTATTGTTTTACTTAGAATTTCAGGTATTTAGATTTGTTTATTTTATGATACATCATGTAGTACCAGATAAACAAGATGTTATCGATAAAGCATCAAATTTTATGTTCAAGCAAAAAAGTCAATCAGGAAACAAGCCTTTTGTATTGAAACGGCATTCCTTGTTTCAAAACAGAACTACTCATACAGAGACAAGTCTTTTTTGTTACGAGATTGTCCATCAGGAAACAAACTTTCTTGTATTGAAACGACATCTTAACATTACAAGATGTTTGTGTAGGGATGGTTAATTTCTCGTTGCAAATTTTAATCGTTCTTAATGAAAACAAATAATGTTGTTCTTGAACGGACAAGTTGTAAGAAAGTTTGTCGTATCCATACAAGAATTTTTAACAGTGTCCCTTCTATCGGCTGCACCATATTTCAAAGTTCTCTCCTCCCCCTCTGTGTGTGTGTGTGTACGACCGTGCTCATCGCTCGTTTGACTGCACCACATTCACATCATGAACTAAAGAGACTCACATAAAAGCAGAGTCTGGCCCGTCGGATAATCCTTTTGCGGTGATTTCCGCCTGAACGCAGATCACGTACCTGCAACACATAGAGAAAAACATCCGTCATGCCACGTATTATTGACTGCAAAGCCGCCGGGTTTGTGTTCGCCAAAACAAAGGCGAACCCGGAAAACTGTGATGAGTGTTGTCATGTACAATGAAATAACAATCGAAAGTATACCGTGCGTTTCTGTGTGCGTGCATGAACACGCACTGTTGCGAGCGGTATTGCGTAGTCCTTTTTCCTGTAAGCAGGTGCCATGGTCCCTGTGAGGCAGGCAACCCGCCCGCCGGCCGCATACCTCATGTTGCCCGAGATCCAAAACGCTGTATAAACTCTATGACCGCATTGCATATTTCTTCGCGTTTTTAGCAGATGATACCTTAAAAACCTTTTGACTAAACATAAAGAATATATAAGTAAATTTAAGGTGTCAGCTTGCTTTTACTCTCGATAAGAACAGAGAACCATAAGCGGAGACCAGAAAACAATTTATTTGGCGCTAGGGGAATCAGTGAGTGACTGAGTGTCGCGCTTCAGGCCGAGGCCCCTTCCTCTACCCAACAATACTGCGTCAGGCAGGTCAGGGCAGGGGGTCTGTAGAGACCTTCTGTCTCTACATAGTGGCAAGCCGACCGCGGTGCGCGGTAGGACGCTTGCCCTAGGTTAGCCAATAGAGTAGGTTTAAATTCTGGCGCGCAGGTAAAGCGCGGGGCAACCCTGCCCGCTGCAGTTGGCAGCACCGAGCCCGCCAAGGAGACGGGTATTGTCTCCAGGCGCGGCGTCTGAGCGGAGGTGCAGGTGCCCAGGATAAAAGACGCCTGCACCCCTTGCTCGTGGTCATTCTGGCACAGGCATCGGCCGCCGAAGGCTCTGCCGGTTAGTGGCTAGGTACTATAGGGTCTGACCCAGGAGTCTTGCTTTGAGTCTCATTAAATCTAAAGACTTAACGCTATTACTTGCATTGGTTTCTCCAAATACTCGCTGAACCCAGTAACGCCTCTAACGCTACCTGACTGCTTGATGTGCGCGGCCTAACGGCCTGTGGGCTCGTCGGTCCATCGCTAAGACTCTGCGTACGGACGGCCTCGGCGCCTAGCCTGATGGTCTCGGCGGAGTCCTCCTAGAAATACTATCGTCTTTCACCTCGTCAGGGGCCCTGTCCCTGTACAACAATACCAGACAAAACTAAGCCACCGATGGCGGCTGCTCTGCCCTGCCCCGCCCTTAGCTCATCAACGCCGCTAGGCCGCCGCGAATTACAAAATTGCAAGTAATAACAAGCAGCCATAAACAAATGACACCTAAATATGAGAGAAAATTAGAAAACAGACCTATTCTCAAATTTGTAATTTGTATCATCTGCTTTCAAGATAGATTCTTGATTTAGATTTTTTCAAGATCCCGGGAGAAAAAAAAAGGCAGAATATTTGGCTGAGAGCACGCTGACGCGCACGAGCAAAAGCTCGTGTGAAACTGTGGGCGTTTGAGATAAAGTTACGGGGGTTTTCTCAGGTACCCCGGGGGCGAGTGGCTGACGGACAAGCCAAACTGCTGGATGTGTCAGCCGTCTGCCATTAGGGCGCGGCAAGGTGGGGGTAATCCCTCTGGATGACCGAGAAACTGGCTGACCACTAGGTGTTTTGCCAGCCAGTCCCTTCCTCGGAGAGGTTCCTTTTGTTGGCGGGGTACAGGGTACGCCCGCGCCTATTGTGGACCCGGGGGTTTACCTGCTTCGCGGGGCGGCCTGGCTGGGCCTCGCTTACTAAGCGCTCCTCAGCCAGTTTCGTCAGCCAGTGCACCACCAGAAAATCGTCTAAGTCCAGCCTGGACTTGTGCTCTGGCGAATAGAGGCGAAAATTTTCTAAGTGGCGACTTTGTATTCTCGCGAGCGGAGGCAAAAACATTCTAAGTCCCGCGACTGTCGACTCGAAATCTGCGTGGGTGTAGTGTGCACGCTGATCACTAAAGTGTTCAACCCCTCAACACAACAAGTGTTCAACTCGTAGTACCAACTACTGACTTGAACGCCGAAAGGAACAGAACTTGTACTTGAACACATTTCGAGTGTTGATGGTTCCACACTTTATTTATCAAAGAGTAAATATCTCAAAATTGTGGCTTTCAGTGTGCTTATGCAATTTAGCTCTGTTTGAATTTCCGCGCAGTAACTTGCGTCAAGGATAGCCAACGTGCAGATTAAAAGTATGGTCATATTTCATGGCGTCGTACGAAATTTGGGCATACCAGGCCTATTCGATATCATAAAATGTTATTTTAAAAATACTTTCTGTTCTCAAGTAGAAACTCTGATGCTATTTTTTCAATAAATGAGGTGAAATTGCTGATTACATGTTGCTACGATTTTAGGCCAGTAGTTACCATAACCCAACTTTTGATCCACGGTCGGACTAGGCGTCTGTTTACAGTACCTTTATTTTTGTCGCTTTTTAAGTACCTCGTCTAATTTTCAACATTTAGAACGTTCCTTTCCGTGCTCGAATAGCAAATTAATGTGTAGAAATGTTAGCAAATTGATTTGAAACAGCAAACTATGTTAATTCTCAAAATCAAATTTTCACGACCCATGTGCCTAAATTCTGCCTTGCGAATACAGGATTTGCCTTTGTATCACTTCTCTTCAACTTCTGCAATGGCCAAGACTTACCATAATATTTTGGGGGGTCGCAGTTTCGAGTTTGTTTCAAGAAAGAAAACTAGGAGGAAATTACTTTGCAAGGTGTTGGAATCCCAAGTGAACTCAACCTAATTTCCTGCAGCAGTTTTGGAAGGTATGTTTTCTTCAAAAGAAACAAAATATTTCCTTTTGCCCCTGCCTTTGCTAAATTTTTACTTATTCATAATTGTAGTGTTTAAATGACCTCTTACCATATCCACTTATTTTGAAAAGTTTTGTCTATATATGTTGAATTATCCCCAGGATAACCAGCTGAAATTTACCAACGGATTGTGCGCAGAATGTACCAGGCCAAACATATGTCATGAAATGCGGTGAGTCTATACAGTTGTTTATCTAGTTAAGAAAAGACACCTACCTAACTTTATTCTATTTATCAAGTGGAGTGTGCCTTCTGATTTAGTTACAAATTTCGAGTAAAGTTGAATAGTTTGAAAATCCTAAACTAATGTTACTTTCAAAATAAAATATTTAAAATGAAATTTGTAGGACCTTTCTACCAATATAAAGAAATGTTGAAGAACCTTAGAGGAAGCTACGAACCAAGTTTGGTGACAATTAGACTTCACCTTATTTTTCTATGAGAGTTACGGCATTGTGCTAACTTTTGTTGTTATCTTTGACCGAAGGGTAGGAAACAAAAATCTAAATTTTCTCCATGGGTGGGTTTGAATCAGTTTTTAATTCTATTTAATATAGTGTAGTTAGATTGTACATTACTTCAGAGGTTCAAAGAGTTTTATCTCTAGCACCAGTCAAAGCCGCTGGTCTAGCCTTGCAACTTTGGGAATTTCTATCTCCCAAACCGTTTGAGCTACATAGCCCAGATTTGGAGTGGGCTCACATGCCAAGAATACCTTCAATTTGGTGACAGATCCAAAATCTTGGGTCGATTAGGAAAAGTAATTTTATGCTCTTGAAACTTTCAGCTATGAGTAAAAATATATAATCCTCTACAAATGTTTTTATTTTGAGAGAAATTTACCAAACTTCATCTTAAATGTGATTAAAAGCTCAATAATAACAATACAAATATAGTTTCTTAAAGAATATAAAAGAAAGTACCTCCATTTCTGCTATGCAAATGAAAACCATAGGCACATCCACAAATCCACAAGTTCCGTGTTCAGTTCGCATTGATTTGTTTAACTGGTTTCACCCCAGGGAATATATGCCTACAGAATTGGACTCTACTTACATTTTCCTAGTCATTATTAGTTGTTTTACTTTAATTTGAAGCATAATGTAACACTGATAGAATTACTTTGAGCAACCCAACATATGTAAATATGGCATTAATATGTACAACTGGAGGTGTACAGATTATGCTTCCTTCTTTTACCGTGGGTTACATTTGCTGCTATTGTTTATACAGTTTTATCTTTACTTCTACTCTGATACATAATCAGATCATCATTTTAGAGTTGAATTAAGGCTATTGTGTGTTTTGGTATTAAGTGAAAATGACACATTTTCAAGCAAACATCTATCTCTAAACAAAAACCACCAAACCAAAAATGGATTTCAGGGACCAGATAGTTTTGATATGACTTATTTTTCAGCATCTGAAAATTTGTTTAGTGTACACTGCCTTCTAAGAATTACCAAAGTGTGTTTACTTGTTACTAAAATTTCCTAGTTCTTAACACGATGAACATTTAGTCTTACAGTAGCCAACTAGGCTTAAATTATCCCTAAGGTGTGTGGGTACAAACGTATGTTGCCAAATTATTAATTTTGTTCAGATTACTTCTTAAAAAATGTAAAAGATGACAATTTTGTCAAACTATTCATTTTTAGTGTCATTTGCAATTTAATTTTTCTTGTTTGAACATTTACAAAACTTACATCTTGGCAACACATGTGTAAACCAACTCACCTTACAGTCATTTTGAGCCCAGGGTTGCTATTTTAAAACTAAAAGTTCATCGTGTGGAGTTCCGGAAAATGTTGATAAAAAGTACACACATGGATAATTCTCAGAAACCACTTTACATTTCTCAACCTTTTCTATGCTGAAAAGTAAGTTATTTTAGTTCTATTCAATCCCTAAAATCTTTTCTTTTCTTTTTTGTAAATTTTACTCATGTATGGTATGATAACATGAGTTTAACCGTTTTAAACTTGCAAGTGTGCAACAGCAAACTGAACACCTACAAGTAGTCAACAATTTTGCTTTTCACTTGAAAATTTTGAACTTTGAACTATCTTTTGTAGGACGTCTATTGATTGTCAACACCTTTAAAGCCTAAGTGGTCAGAAGCTCAGTATTGCAATTGTTCAACTACCGCCGCAACTTGCTATTGGTTGACCCCCCCCCCCCTTCCACTTACCCACACCTCTTCTCCCTCTTCTCTGCCTCCTAATAAACCAAAATCAAAATATTCTCAGAGCCTAAAAGTTAAACTATAGCGTGTTTTTCCCTTTTTCAGGGCATCATCATGTACTACAGCACTGATCAAGATTCCACCCCACAGTTGTGCATGAATGTTTAGACTTGTTCACTGCTATTAGTATGGAATAATAAACATGTGCACATTACTTGTTTTCTCATTTTTCGCCTCTTTCGAAATGTGATGTAGCGGCTTACGCTTTTACGACAGTTTTGGAGAGCTGTGCTGTATCCATAACGTCGCGACGCCCGCGACGCCCGCGACGCCCGCGACGCCCGCGACGCCCGCCGCGGCCGCCGGCCGCGGTGCGCGGGGTCAGGTAGCGGGTGGATTAGGGGCTGGGCGCGACGGCCGGCCGGCTGAGGAACGCCCAGAAATTGGCTGGGCAGTCAGCCACCAGCGGACGGGCTGCTAATCCCCCCCCCCCCAAGCGCCCGCTTCAGGTATAGGCTGACAACAACCCAATCCATGAGACTCTATGAGCCTCGAGTCTGCCAGTCGATTCCAAGAATCACGGTTCCGGAGTAAGCGTGTCTCAGCCAAAATATTCTGCCTTTTTTTTTCTCCCGGGATGACGCCAGGCATTCAAAGGAAACGTGAAAATATTAGCAAACAAAAGTTTAGAAGACTTGGGATCACGTCAAATTCTTGATTGTTAGTTGCTCAAAATAAAAATAAATTGTTGCAAACTTAATATGTATTAGAAATAAGAATTTGCGCGTCTTTGCAGTGTAAGCATGATGTGTCTCGTGTGGGCATCATGACGAGTGTGCACTGTGCTGACTGATGCTGTAACCCCCCCCCCCCCACACACACACATTGGACCTCACAATGCACGCCGCGTCAAGACCGGAAGGACAGCCCGCTCCGCCTCCGCCTTCCTCCCCCGCGCCGCGGCCGCGCCGGACACTCGAGCCGCCCGTCTGCAGCGACAGCGCAGCGGGGAGACCTGGCGGCAGTGACCCGCCGCCTTATGTAAACCAGACGATAAGCGTCGGGAGCGAGAGGAGACGCAACGTCAAAACAGTGATAAGTGACAGGCGGACGTGCGAACAGCAGACGGACGGACGGACATGTGGACAGATGACGGACGGACACAGACATGTGGACGATTGACAGACGGACCCGCCGACAGAGTGACTTCCAACGCAGGGTGAAATGAGCAAGCTGCGGTGTGTGGCTGCACGGTGCAGAAGTGAAGAGCGGCGTAGAGCACCACCATCACTGCTATCGTCATCACCAATGGTGATTCACCGTTACCACCGTCACACACACGTCACAATCACCACTGTCGTCATCACTATTACTACCGTCACACACGTCACCATCACCACCATCGTCATCCCTATTACCACCGTCACACACGTCACCATCACCGCCATATCGCCATTACCACCGTCACACACGTCAGCATCATCGTCATCACCATTACCGTCACACACGAAACCAATATAAAATAATGACTGGTGCGCTTCCGTCCCATACGTATCATACCCACCCCGGGGTAGGTGAGGGTGCGGAGCGTGTGCGGGGGGACGGCCGACCGCCCCGAGCGCTCATTGCCAAAGGAGGGAGAGAGAGAGAGAGGGAGGGGGAGGGAGAGGGAGAGGGAGAGAGAGAGGGAGG